TGATGGAAGCAGCAAGTCTCAAGCTGTTGCACCTTCTGGTTTTATTTTGTCCTGACACAAAGAGGTAAAATGAGTTTTTCCAAAAGCTGTTCTTGTTGCATCATGATGAAGTACAAAATATTTCACTTTACCTAGTCACAATCCTGGAGTACAAAATCTCCTGGTATACATTATACCAGGAAATATCAAGTTTTCCAACACTGTTACAAACGTACATTTACAGTTTGATACCAAGTGATCAGCTATCCAATTGTCTACAGCTTTACCAAATTTGGCGCGGCTACGCTGCGACGCTCGTAAGCCGGCCTGGAAAAACCTTCGCGAGGTCAGATTGACCCCATCACCCGAGCGTGTGTTACATTCAGCAAGGAATGTGACCTCAAGCCATACACACATACACATGGATGGTGCTTTGTTTCTCTTTGAAGGGGCTGTGCATCATGTCCATCACCAGCAAGTGCTCTTCAATATCATGCCAACCTGATGGCAGAGGCATTAGAAGGGGATGCATGAGAAATCATGGGACCTTCCCCCTTTCAACTGTTTTTGGCACACCCATACCTGTGATGGATCTCCACTAAATCATTCATGTTGTGTCTGAAGTAACCAGTACCAATGGCTATTGAGGTTCGTTTTTAACCATATTCTGGGTGTGCTTTCAGTATCCTTATTCTGGGTAGTGTTGTAGATTCTTATCCTTCCACTTGGGATCTTAGACTGCTGGGCAGGTGGAAACAAAGTGAGAAAAATGGTGGCTAATTATTATAGATCTACATTTCTTTTAAAAACAGATAGGGCAGCAACAACAAGGACAAAACTTGAAAAATTCAGTAATTATGATCTAACACTATTCATGTTTATGAATTAATTTGCAATGCAACCCCTATGGATTGAAAGATAATGTTCCTAAGACTGATGTAGTATGACCAATTTCAAAATCTAGAAATTGTGAGGCTGTCCATGATGCGCAAAATTTGTTGATAAAAAATGCTGAGACTGATTTTTGATTGTGTGGATGTTGAGTGAATTGGATGTCGCTCTGTTTGTGATCAGAGAAGCAAGCATGGCCCCAAATTTGGGCATAGGCAGAGCCAGGCTACCAATTGCTGTTGTGATAGGGGAGACTTGGTGAGTGTGGTATGTCTTATTGTTGGCATGTTTGTACATTTGATTGTTGTCTGTTTGGCAGTGTTGGCCAGGAGGACCTGTGCTGGGTGGTCTTGTGTTTGCTGGGTGGTCTTGAGAGCTGCTGGGGGCGTGATGGCCGAGTTGCTGGTGCATCGGGCTCCCACGGGAGGGGCCCGGTTCGGTCCTCGGTTGTGCTATGGCCCCTGAGCGTTAAGATGGCCGATATAGTAGCTGGCGCTCCACTAAAGGGGCGTGACGACGTGCGTCGGGTTCTCCTTAAAGCAAAAAAATGAGGGACCTGTGAAAGAGGCGGTTGTAACGATGCAAGCGGTGCGTCGCCATTACTTATTCTGGAAAGATGCTTGGGCCAACAGAGTCGCTGGAAAGAAGTTTTATTTTCTCGGAGCCACTTGGAAACAGCACAGATGTCGATTAGTGGGAAATACAGAAAAACAGTGGCATAAACAATTGACTCACTGTTTGCATGATCATTTCCGCCCGTGCCATGTCGCAAACACTGTTTAAAATGTATCTTGGTGTCTGAGCTCATCATAGCGGCCACCGCGCGGTCTGCAATCTCCCTCTGCACTCCTCTGCTACAATCTCATTCAAGGGTCTCTGGAGTAGATTTTAATAGATTTTCATTACACTTCAGTACAACAATTCCATTTCTGTGCAGCAATTCCACTTTGTACATGAAACATGTTTTGCTGTACAGGAGCGGAATAGGAATGTGGAGCAGGAGTCATTTATATCATTGAGATGCCTGAAGACATCCACCTTTTTACCAGTCATTGGGTCGAGCCTTTTTCAGTAAGCAAAACTTAACTTTTCGGGACACAGTTGACAAATTGTCATATTAGTGTATTCCTTTAGCCAGGCAGTAGAATGTGAATTGAAGCGAAGAAGTTTTATATAAAACTGGAGAAGGCAATGTTGGATCGCAGGCACGGCATGGAGCTACGGACACCGTGCTTTAGAGTCCGGATCATCATCGCCATTCGGCAACGGGGCGCTATGTGCTGCCTGAACAATGTCCGTTGCCACTGCAAAGACGGATGGATGTGCGTTCGAGGGGGAGCGTGCAAACTACGGCGTCGTGTCTCGCTACCACGCGCTTCTGCCTCCCCGCATCTGGCAGCCGAGTACAGTCGCGGACGGGGCGGCCGGCACTGCCGCTGCCGCTGTCACGGGCCGTGCCGTGCCGAGGCCTCGTCCTGGCACGGCGCCGGGCCTGCTGGCAGCCGTCTCACCGGCCGGGTGAACTGAGAGCGTTGTGCTCTGCCGTGGCGAGGGCTCCTGTGCCCTCGGGCAGGTACAGGCGATGTGGCGGGGTGCAGCGGCGGTATTGAAGGCGGGCCAGCCGGGCCGTTGAAGGTGCTGGTGATGTGGCGGAGCGGGGCGGCCTGGGCGATTTGAGACATAGGGTCATGCGGTGGTCCGGGGCAGAGCAGGACAGCTGCTGGGCTGCCCAGGGCTGCCCGAGGCTACCGTTGGGCTGCCCCAGGATGCCGGGCTGCCCCAGGATGCCGCCGGGCTGCCCCAGGATGCCGTCGGGCTGCCCCAGGATGCTGCGGGCTGCCCCAGGCTGCCGCTTGACTGCTCCTGGCTGCCGCTGGGCTGCCCCAGGCTGCCGCCGGGTTACCCCAGCCTGCCCCAGGCTGCCGCTTGACTGCCCCAGACTGCCGCTGGGCTGCCCCAGGCCACCCCAGGCTACCGCTTGACTGCCCCAGGCTGCCGCTGGGCTTCCCCAGGCTGCCGCCGGGTTACCCCAGACTGCCCCAGACTGCCGCTCGGCTGCCTGGGCTGCCCCAAGGTGCCGCTGCAGGGCACTACCGCCTGGGCACCTAGACTCGGGCGGAAAACTATGGGCTAGTGGCACTCGCTGGTGTCGAGCGGTCTGTCATCGTCTCTCGATGGTTTGCTGATCTCTGAAAAATGAGCTGCTTTTTGGCTGTGTCATTTTCTCTCGGAATCACTGGCTCGGCCAGGATAATGTTTGTTGCCACCGTGGCGGGGCTGGAATTCCCAGCTGCCCCTGTTCCACGTCCGACTGGTCTGGGCGAGGTGTATTGGGCCATGCACTGGAGGGTGAATTGGGAGCCGGGGGTTATCCGCTCCGGATGGGGGCCGTACCTCGCAGAAACTCGCGGTTGGGGCTACCCAGTCGGAAGCTCTTCTTCTTTTACCCCAGGTAGGGGCTTCCCGATGTTCGCGCTTGCCATGGGGGCTTGGCTTGGTTTGCTTTTCCTTGGTGATAATTGCTTATAGACACTGCCTTTTGGCACTTTTAGACACTGACTATTCTTTACGCTGAAGCGGTCATCAGTGGTTTGGTGAATTAATTTTCATGTGTTCATAATTTTGCGAAAGAGTGCGCAACTCAACGAAGGGTAAAGCTTTCTTGTTCGCGCCGCTTTTTCAGGTAAGGCCGC